CCGAAACAGTTCGGCTGAGCTCGGAGCCCAGGTTCCAGTTTTGGCCCGTGTTGAGTTAACGCCGCTGCCCTCCCTCCCGCCCCCACCCTGGTGCCAGCTCCCGATGCAGCACCCCCGTCTCCCCTTGCTTTGAACTGAACAGTGAACTTTGCCTGCTTCTAGCACTCGGATTTACAGTATAGGAAAAAGGTCATAAAAGAGACCCAAATCGCATCGTATTTTTTAAAAATTTCAGCATATTCTCTGACGTTTCCCTCCCCTGCCCCGTCCCCTCCCTGGTTGCCGGCCAGGGGGTGTCAGGGCAGTTCCCCTTCCCCCAAGGGGTCTTCTTTGCTCTGGTCCATGGAGTCACTGTCGTTGCCCTCCGTGTCGGAGGCGGTGTCGGAGTTGGAGGGCTCGGGGCAGGCCCGCACGGGCGTCACGATGACCGCGCGCCTCTGCTCCTCTTCCTGCAGCTGCTTCTCCTGAGTCCCCTCGATGTGCTGGATCGCCTGCCGAGCGGGACGGGCGCCGTGAGGATGGCCTCACTGCCAGGGATGGTGCTTTCCCCCACAAACAGCACCCGGCTTGGGGCCAAGACCCGTGCTGGAGGCGGCCCCGGTGTGCTAGGGAGCCGAGTGTGTCTCTCCCGAATCCCGGCACAGGCCACCCTCCGCCGTCAGCCCCGCGCTCCTGGCACTCCCTGCCGCCTGCTGGGCTCCTGTGCGTTCCCTCCCGCTGCCAGCCCGGCCCTCCGGGGCCCTCCTACCTGAACGATGGTGTCCAGGTTTTGCCGGGACGTGGAGACTGTGTTGATGACAGAGGATGGGCCCATGGTGACCACGGTGACGTGATGGGAGGGAGGCGGCGCTGGTACGATCACAGTGGGGTGGTGGGTGGGTGCTGGGGGACCGTGTGCTGGCAGGAGCTGGGAAGAGAAGTGAAAGGCCCCCATTAGCCTGGAAAACCTCCCTCCAGCCTCCCAATCCCAGCCGGCTGCACCCCATGTCCCAGCAGTGGGTCTCTCTCTACCTAATGTAGGGTGGCTGTCTTGGAAGAGAAGCAGAAAAGGTAAACCTCATACAGGAAGAAAAAGGTAGGCAAGAGCCCTTGGGCCTGGACAAGAGGATGATGGGGAAAGCCCTGCACACCAGAAATCCAGAGTCCTTCAAGAGAAAATAAAAGCCTGAACAACAGCCCAGTTGCTCAGGATCACGCACCCCCCTAGGCAGACGCTGCAGCACTCTGCCGCAGAGCTTGGTGGCCTTAGCTTTGGCAGAGCCAAAGGCAAACGGGATTGAAAGGGCTCCCAGACCTCTACCCATAAACGTGTTCCTGCTTCCTCTGAGAGGGGCACAACACCTTCCCTGCACCCAGCACGGGCTTCGGCCAACGTTGTTATGGACATGCAAAACCCAGAGAAACTTCAAGAGCTCCAGAGACAACTTCTAGCCCATGCTGGGAAAGGAATCAGGGACCAGACGGAAGACAAGAAACTGTCCCTTCAGCACAGACACATGCCGGATTGCTCTCCTGACTCTCAAGATGAATTTGAATTCCCTTTATCAGGGAAATGGGTAAGACCTGGCTTTTAAGACAGCGAAGGCAAAAAAAAAAAAAAAAAAAAACACAGATCTGAGCTACTGCTGCATGGAAATCCTCAAATCACCCTGAACTGCTCAGCTGGGAACCTGCCGCACCCCTAAAAGATCCTCATTAAAATAGCGGATGCAAAGAAACGCCCTAGCAGGAGGCTAAGGAAAGTTCACCTAAAAATAGGCTGAATTTCCCTAGGAGGCAAGCGGGCATGGATCCTGGGGGGAAGCATCTCTGGAGAAGCCGAAGTCAGTTTTTCTAACGCCCTTTGAAGTCTCCCATGCCGGAGTCTCCCCAGGGGCTGAGCTTGAGGGATGGCTCAAAGTGACAAGCAGTCACTGTGACAAGCAGTGGAGGGAAGTGGAGGGACTGAACTCTCCTCCTTTCTGCTCCTCCAAGCACCCGTAAGGCTCCCCAAGGCAACAGCAATGTGATTCTGGCAGGGGCAGAGACTGAAGACTTCAGTACCTGCACTCATGCAACTCCTGCCAGGCAGCAACGCCTGCCAACTATCCCACTTCCTGGTTCCAGCCCAGATTTGTACATGGTGGACATTGGTTTGGGAACCTCCAAAAATAGGCTGGAGTCACCCAGTGAGAGTCGAACCTCCAGCAGTGGCGTTGGACCTTTACGTCACTGCGAACCACCAGCACAGGAAGCGCTACCTGCATCAGCTGCACACAGAGCACTTTAGCTGCTGCCATCGTCCATGGTTGAGGCCCAAGACCTACATTCCTCACTTGGTCCCACACGCAGGCCACAGCGAACGCGACAGAAACGCAGCTGGGAGCCAGAGCGGGCAGCAGGGCCCAGCCGACAAGCGGCAGCACCGTCTCCTCCACCTGAGCCCGGCAGGGAGGCCCGGCTGGGAAAGCTCCGCAGAGGAACTCGGCTCCCAGGGGATGCAGAGGCGCCCCCACCCAGCGCCTCCCAGCAAGGCCTTGGAAAGTCACGGTCCCGCCAGCGCCAAGTTGAATCGCTGCCGGCTAAAAAACGATGCTGCGCATACAAAAGCTGTCAGCGCTGGGGCACGGAGCCACTTGAAAGTTGCTGTGACGTGTTCGGGGGATTGTGGCTCGGACCACAAGAGGCACCTGCAAAGCAGCCCCTGTTGAGCTAACCGGGGCCACAGAGAGCGGCTGGCAGTGGAGCCCTGCGGTGGCACTCGAGGAGCAAGGTTGGCAAGGACAGGGACCAGGCACCAGCTCTGGAGCAGGTGAAGAGGAAGCTGTCACCACCATGCAGCGACTACCATGAAAGGGGGCTCTTTGGCCTGGCCACAGCCAGCCACAAGGACTGGCTGGGCCAGCTGCTAGTGCCTTCCTCAGGGCAGAGCCACGATGAAGCAGCCAGCCCAACTGGCTATGAGGAACTCAGCGTCCCAGGATGCGGACATGTCACCAAATCATCTCTCAGCAGTGGACGGACACATCAGCTCCAGTCCCAAAGGGAGTGCAGCCAGGACACAAACACACATGGAGGCCACACACCAAGTCCTTTCCCTGCCCCTGAGAATGAGAGCTTTGCAGGGACATTTCTGCCAATTGCAGCCAAACCCCAGGGTCAAGCACCACGTCGCTGAGCTGACCTCAGCCCCATACACATCACTGCCTGCACACGCAGACCCACATCTCACAGAAAAGCTTCCTCAGGCAGCTGGGGTGTCCCCAGAGCTGGGCTGCGGCCGGGGCAGGCCCCAGGGCCGGGCGGTATCCGAGCACTCACCTGGGTTCGGATCTGCTGCTCTCGTTCTAGCTTCTCCTGGTGCAGCAACCTCACCTGTTCTTGCTGCTGCTGGAGCTGCACTTGCTGAGCAATCACCTTCAGCTTCTCGGGGTACATGTGGGCCTCCAGAGAGCGAACCTGCCAGGCAGAGAGGGCCCGGATGCGGTGGTGCCGGAGCACAGCACAGCCCTCCGATCCCACAGTGAGACCTTGGCACGAAACCCAGCCACTCCGTGCTTGTCCTCAGTGCTATGGGGCAGACTAGGCAGGGACCCTGGGGAGAACCCAGCACCGAGTCTGGGTAGGGAGCAACTGGCAAAGCCCAAAGTAGCTTGCAGTGTCCAACAAACCATGAATGGCTCCTGATCAGAGCCCACTCTGCCAAAACCAGCCCGTCGGGTTACCAATCAATGTGCTGGAACAACAGAACAGCTCAAGAGATAAAGCAAGGCTTTGCTCCGCCACGGCTCAGGAGACACCAAAGCAGTGTTCAACAGCGCTCGGGGACCCGCAGCTCTCCTGAAGACATCACAAGAGCAAGTCCTGACCTCCCAAACACCCGGGGCAGCACCTTGGAGGTGGCCTCAGCCCAAAGGGGCTCGGAGGGGAGGCTTCAGCACCCTGAGCCATAGGGGGCTGGCACAAGAGCGGTGCAGGCAGGACGGGGGCTGCAGCTCGGCCCGGAGCCGCCAGGCCACGTGCGCTCGCTCGGCGCCGCTCCAGCTTCCCGGGCACTGCCCGCTAGAGGGCGAGCCCGGCCCGCGCGCGGCGCCGCACGGGTGCCCGCGGCCGCATCCAGATCCTCGGCCTTCTCGTCTTCCCAGATGTCCGGCGAGCCGATGCCTTCATCCTTGTCCTCTGCCCGTCGCCGTTTCGGGGAGGAGCCACTGAACTCCTGCCAGGCAGATGAGGTGTCAGGGCCCAGACCCGGCGGTTTGGGGCCAACAGGAGTTTCCCCTCTATTCCCGCTGCCCTGATTCCCCATCCAGATCACAAGCAGGGCCGTAGGCTCCTCAGGGGTGAAGATGTACATGCCCATGCACCCGGGCTTCACTCCTACCCAGCCCTGTGCAAACCCACTTCGCTGTCAGCGCATCGCAGGGAGCCAGCCCTTCCTCGGCCAGCCCAGCGCCAGCCCAGCCAGCAGTGCTGGGCACGAAGGGAGGCACTACCTGGATGAACCGCTTGAGCTGGGTGTTCTGCTGCAGTAGCCGAGTCTTCTCCTGCTCCAGTGAAAAGATGTATTCAGCAGTTTGCTGGAGGATCGCCGCCTGGGGAAGAGCCAGGAGGGAGGCCAGTGAGGCAGGAGGCTTTTCCGCAAGGTCCCTCCCCAGTCACAGGAGACCTGTTGCTACTGAGAAACTTTCCTACCCAGGAGGCAGCAGCACAGCTCCTTGCTGGCCCCAACAGCTCCAAGCTTTGCTTCACCTCTAGACCCTGTGGCTCTCCCCTGGGCTTTCCCTCCACTCAGTTCACACGAAGTGCTCGAGGTCTCATTCATCTTCGCAGGAGCAGTGTCTGACCTACTCGCTAGAGCTACCTTTTCCCACCACTCTCCAGCAGCACCAAGAAAGTCCTGCTGTGAAAGGGCCCCTTGTTACCTGGGCACACGTGGTCCCAGTGCGGGTTTTGCTGGGTGCATCCAGATTGCTCCTCTGCTCTGCACTCAGGACATTGAGTTACTCACCCTGTAACGTGCACTCCCCACCCCCAGAAGCAACTGCCCCAGAGAGGGAACTCCATCACACCTCGAGAAAAGAGCTTCATCCAACCCAATGAAAATACTGGCTATAAATCCCCGGGGTGCTAAGGAACCTGGCAGTGACTAGTGAAATAATGTATGCAATTATCCCTAATTATGCCTACAGCCCTGTGCTGCCTGCTCAACGAGCACTGCAGAAACCCTCTACACAGAGGATGGACATCCGAATCGCACATCTCTGATGTACTGGAGCACTGATTCCCCTGCTCAGTGTCCCTCACAGCCCAGAGCAGGTGCCACCTCACGCAGGGCAGCTCCCTGGGCTCACCTTGCTGAGCTTCTCCCCGTCCGTGTGTGGGATGAGCGTTTTCAGAGACTGGAACCCTGCATTGATGCTCTGCATCCGCCTTCGCTCGTTGCTGTTGGCGATCTCCCTGCGTATCCGCCGCTCCTGGTCCCGCTGGGTCTCTGGAGTCAATGGGATGTTGGCCAAGCTGCAAGAGACACCCAGAGTTAGGGAGGAACAGGCCTGCACCCCTGTGCTCACTGCTCGCTGTTCGGAGCCCCAGTGCCGTGTCTTGGGCTCGTCCCCTCTATTTCCTCCTCTGCTTTGCAAGGATGGAGCAAGCAGCCCAAGCGACTGGTAGGAGAAAACACAGGGGACAACCATTCTAGTGCCATGAAGGGCTCAGCCTGAACCTTATCTCCAGACACTGGAGATGCTGCTTAAAAAAAGCAGCAGCAGGGAAGTGGTTTTTTTCTACCCTTCTTTTGACCCAAAACACAGCCTGCGTGCAGCCCCCCAGCTCCGTCAGGCTTGGACAGGATTTGGCCACCAGCAATCCAACAGCATCCATAGGGCAGGCAAAAAGAGAGCAGAGGACTCATGGGCACCTCAGAAGCAAGGACACCCTGGCTGGAGTCAGACACAAGCACCTCCTCCGAGTGCCCCAAGTGTCCTCTG